AATTATTATTATTTAATTAAAAACTATTTAATATATAATTTCTTTGCTAATTTAATTATAGAAAAAAACTATATTAAATAGCTAAAAAAAAAACCTTATGCTATAATCTCTTTATAATAATGCAGCTACTTATTTATATTGCATTAAATAATATAAATATTATATTTATACTTAAAAATCCTTAAAAAAGGAAATTTTTCCTTTTACTTTATAATCTTTTTATAAGGTTTTTAACTTACTTATTTATTATTTTTTAAATAAAAAGATAATAAAAAATTATTTATATAAGTAATAAAATTTAAGTTAAAAAGCATAAATAATTATAATTTCCTATTTATTTTTCTTTCTTTTTCCTTTAATAATATATTATTCCTTAAATAAGTCCTTAATTATTAGCAACCTTATAAAATACTTAAGTATTTTATAATAATATTATAACTTTTTTATAACCTTTTCTTAATATTTCTTAGCCTTATATTTTTATTATTATCTTTATAATTTATTTATAATATTTATTATATTAAATAATATTAAAAATATAAATAAAGCCTTAAATTAATATTTTTACTTTTACTTTATAATCTTTAATAATTTTATTAAGTTTTTTAATAAAACTAATAATAATAATAATAATCTTTAAAAAATTTTAATATTTTTTTAAAAGCATTATTATATTAATATTATAACCTTTAAGAAATTTAGCTTTAAAAGCATTACCTTAATTATTATAAAAAGCATTATTAATAACTTTATTATAATCTTTCTTAAGGTTTTTAAGGTAATATTTATAAATATAATTAAGCTTAATTATATTTTAATTTATATTTAAATTTTTAAAATATTAAAGTAAGTTTTTAATAAGTTTATTATAACTTTTAACTATTTCTTTATTATTATTATTACTTAAGGTTATATTTTAAATAATGTTTATTTTTATTATATTTATATTAAGTATTATATTAATTATAATTACTTTATTATAACTCTTTATACTTAAGTTATAAATATATCTTTATAACTTTATTATATCCTTTTTATAATTCCATTATTAATTATTTAAATAAAAGAAAAAGTAAAGAGTTATTATTAATATTATAAGGGAAATTATTAAGGAAATTATATTATTATAAAAAAAATATAATACTTTTTTATAACTTATTATTAATTTCTTTATAAATTTATATTAAAGCCCTTACCTTTAAAATTAATATAGCTTTTTTTAATATTGTTTATACTTTATACTTAACCTTTAAGATTAAAAGCTTTAATAATATTATTAATATTATAATTTTTATAAATATTCTTTGCTTTATTTTTATAACCTTAATTAATATTTATAGCTAAATAATTATTATTATTCTTTCCTTAATAAGTATTTATATATAATTAATAAATTTAAATTTAATAAAATAAAACCTATAATTATTAAAATATTTTAAATTATTATTTATAAGCCCTTTATAACCTTTAAAAATATTAATAAATTAAACCTTTAAAAAGTTCTTAATATTATTAAAAAGATTTATAATAAAGTTATAAAAAATTATATTTTCCTTAATTATATTTATTATAAGTTATGCCTTTTTAATAACTTATATTAAGTTTATAATAAATTTATTTATATTAAAAAGAATAATAATATTTTTAAAAATTTTAATATAAAGTTTTTAATTCTTATTATTATTTATTTAAATAAAATTATTAATATAATTAAAGATAAGTAGCTAAGTATTTATTATATTTTCTTTATAACCCTTTTAAGTATATTTTTATAAATTCTTATATTAATATTAACTTAATATATTAAGCTAATTAAATAATCTTCTTTATAAGCTTTACCTTAAATTTAATATAACCTTAAATTAATATCTTTATAATTTTTAATTTAAGGTTGCTATATTTTCCTTTTCCTTTTATTTTTTAATATTTCCTTATATACTTAACGGTTTTATTACAACCTTGCCTTTAAGCAATAGCTTGCTAATAAGGATTTATAATAAGCATTAAGCATTTCTTATTAAGTTATATGCCTTAATTATGCTCCCTTAGGAAGGATCGCTGCAAGGCTTTGGAATTTAAGGACTCTTTTTATTAGCTAGTAGTCGGTCCGTTATTGCTTTAAGGCCGGCTCCTTTTTAAGTTTTCTTTTCCTTTTCCGCTTTGCCTTAGGGGGGTTGACTGGGATTTCAATGCCCATATAAGTAAATATTAAAGTTAATAAAAATTAAGTAATATTATAAAAATTAATTATAAAGTAATATTAATTATTTAATAATAAATTATATTATATTTAATTTATTTAAATTTATTATTATAATTTTAATAAATAATAATATATAAAAATAAAATAAAATTTATAAATATATTAATTTTAAAATTTTAAATAAAAAAGTAAATAAAATAATTAATAAAATAATAATATTTATATTTTTTTCTTTTTTATTTATATATAATTAATTTAAATTTAATAATATTTTATATATTTATTTAAATAAAAGTTAAATTAAATTTAATATAAATTCTTTTTTATAAAATAATAATTAATTTATAAAAAAAGCTTAAAATAATTTTTAAATTTTTTATTTATTCTTTTTTTAAAAGTTTTATAATTAAAATCTTTAATTAATAATTTGGCTGCATGGCGCATTAGTTATGCGTTTGGCTTCTCTTTATAAAGAGCGTAAGTTTAAACCTTGCCGCAGCCATTAAAACCTTTTTTAAGAATTTTCCCCTTAATTACATTATGGTAAATTACAGCCTGCTTATTTACAACCCTTTTAGCTAAAAAGAGCTTATGCTTAAAGCCTTAAAAACCCTATTAAAGCTAATAAAAATAAGCATTTAAAAAAAGCCTTAAGCTTTTAAAACCTTAAGCTAATAACGCCTTAAAATATACTTTATAATAAGGCCTTTTTATAAAAAGCCTTTAAATTAATTAATAAATAAGCTTTATTATAAGCTTTAATTAGCTTTATTAAAAGCCTTATATTAATAAAAATAGCTTTATAACTTTATATTAAAGTAATTACAGCCCTTAATAAGAAAGTAATAATTTTTTATTAAGTAATTATAAGGGATTTACTTATAAAAAGCAGCCCTTATTAAGATTAAGATTAAAAGAAAGGATTATTAAGAGAAAGGAGTAAAAAAGGGCTTTATAAATCTTAGGAAAGGTTAAGGGATAAGCTTTTAATTAAAGAAATTAAGAGGTATATTAATTTTTATTTAGCTTTAAGGCATGGTTTTTTTAATATAGGTAAATTTATAAAGGGACTGCATGCTAATTAACAAGCTTTATATATATATATATATATTATAGCTTTATGTAAATAAAATATTATTATTAATTAATAATTTAAAAACATCTTAAAATTTAAAGTTATATTTATTATTTTATATAAAAAATTAATATAAAAATTAATATTTATATTAAATTAATTAAAAAGTAAATAAATTAAAATTTAATAAGAATTTAAATTAAACTTTTTTAATTAAATAAATATTTTTTTAATAAGTAATTTATTATTTAATTTATATTTTTTAAAAATCTTTTATTTTTTAATAATAATAATTATATATTTTACTTTTTTTAATAACTTTAAATATAATTAACTTAAAAATTAAAAACAATATTAATAATAATAATAATATATTTAATAATTTATTAAATATTTTAATTATTTTTAATTAAATTTCTTTTTTATTTATTAAAATTTTTTATAAATATAATTAATAATTTAATTTCTTATAATTTTATATTATTTATTATATTTTTATTAAAAAATAATAATGACTTTAATTATTAAATTTAATATATATATTAAATATTATATATTATTTTTAAAGTTTAAATTATATTTAATAAAATGATTTATATTAAATAAATTTTTAATAATATTTTATATATTGTTTTATTATAAGTTATTTTAATATAATATTTTTTATAATATATAAAGTTTTTAAAGTTAATTTAAAGCTTAATAACTTTATATAACACTTAAAAAATTATAATTAAATATAATATATTTAAATTATATATTTTTAAATTTAAAATAATAAATAAATAATAACTTATAATTAAATAACCCTTTTTTAATAAATAAAATTTAAATAATTTAAATTTAAATATTAATTTATTTTCTTTTTTATTAATATATTTTTCTTTTTTTTATTTAACTTTTTAAATATATTTTTATTATTTTAAAAATTAATATTATTATTAATATTATTTTTATAATTTCTATTATTAAAATTTAACTTTTAAATATAATATATATTAAAAAATATAAAATATTTAATAATTAAAGATAAAAAATAATAATATATTTATATTATTTTATTAATTATTTTATTAATTATTTTATTATATTATATATTCTATATTAAATATTTTATATTTTATATATTATATATATATTTATATTAATAAAAATTAAATATATTTTATAATTATAATTTAATTTTAAATTAAATATAATATTATAATATATTTTAAAATATTATAATATTTTAAAATTTATAATATTTTAAAGTTAATAATATTTTCAAGTTTATAATATTTTAAAATTTACAATATTTTAAAATTTATAATATTTTAAAATTTACAATATTTTAAAATTTATAATATTTTAAAATTTACAATATTTTAAAATTTATAATATTTTAAAATTTATAATTTAAGCTTAAAAGTTAATTATAAATTAAATTATTTTAAAAATATATTATATTTATAAGCTTTATTAAATTATTAAATTTAAAGATATTAATTTTAAAATTAAATTTATACCTTTAAATTATAATAAAAAATAAATTTTAAAGAAATAACTTTAATTATATAAATTATTTAATTAATATTTTATAAAATAAAATCATTAAAGCAATTAAATATATAACTTTAAATAAGGTTAATAATTTATTATTGCATTAACCTTTTAATAAGGGCTACCCTTTTTAAAGGGCGTGTAAGGTATAGTTAACGGAGAAATATAATTATGGTTTAGAGGTCCTGGCAGGAGTTAAACCTGCGCCTTCTGCATTTCTATAGATTGGCAGCTCAGCGCGTAGACCAACTGCGCCACGGGACCCTAAAAGTTAATTATAACGTGATTTAAACTTAGGTTCTATGGGTGTGGAGTGGATGTGGAAGCTGGGGGTGGGTGTAGTGGCCAATTTGAGGTTTGTGAACAGTGTCTGCTCTGAACCGCCGTAGGCGGGCTTCCCGATCCTCTGGCGAGTCGGGGAAGTATGGACCGGCCGCCAAGATGAAAGAGAAAAGCTTGGGCACTGACACAATTCCTGCTTCCCACGAGGCATGCTATTAAGGCACGGAACAACATAGGTTCGGTTGGCGTCAACTTTCAACGTCCAGCTAACAAGTCTAGAGTTAGGCTGCGTGCAACACGCGGCCTTTCAGGAACGAATTTTCGAGTGTTCGCAGCCAGTGGAGCCTGGCAGCCGCCCGGGAACAGACGTATGCCGACCCGAGTAGCTTTGTTAACAAGGCTGCAGAATGGAACTGGTGGCGGGGGAACACGTGCCTTGCGAGACTGTGCTATGATTACGGTAAATGCGTCACATGGAGTCAGAGAGGGGGTCCTTGACCTGTGCCTCTCTTGACGCGTCTGCCCGCGTTCTCAGCTCGTTAATTTGGGTTGATAGTTACAAGAATGCACAGCGTTGCAGCACACAGCTTGTAGATATCCCAGGTGTCGACAAATCAATAGCATATTCTGGGAAATCATTTGACCTTTCGCGGGACCTCCCCTATGGTGATCTTTTTTTTTTTTTTTTGGGGGGGGGGGGGGTTCCAAATGACTGTAGCCACCACAGAAACGACCTCTACTTTGTATACTACAGGGATGATCTCTACGGGGATGTCAGGATACCCATTCTGCCTCGGAAATGACAAGTAGGCTGGTAGGATAGAAATTTTGTTTTATTCCTTGTCTCCTAATTAGCTCTCCCGCGAGACAAACCGTTCGTCCCGCGCATTCTAACGCTGGAAAAGGTGTGAGCGGCTCGGCAGGCGCCACAGACGTCTTAGTGGCGCACGCCATCTGTCAGAGAATTTCAGCCGCGCCGAATGGTCAGGCACTTGCGCAGGGGCTCGCGCTGGTGGCATCCACCCTGAAGATCACTATCATCATCCTCGTCACTGTTGCCGTTATGGCGTTGCTTGACTGAGTGATTTAGTGACGGATCGAGATGGAGTTATGAGGCAGTCAGGAGTGAGGTCACCTGAGGGATGATGACAAGCGAGCTTCGATCTGTGGAATGGAGGTACTGCAACATCAGATAGGCGAGTTGAAGATCGCGGCGTCACCTCCACCGAACCCCATTCCAGGTGACGGCGGGCTCCGTTGAACCGGCGCATGGGCAACTGAGCAGTTGGGGCCAGTGGACATGCTGGGAGCGAAGCCCACAAATGTTGTGCATGATGCACGCGGAGCAGCAGATCTTGTGGGCCCCTTCACGAGCGAGGGGCTCTGCGTCTTGGGACCGCAGCGCAAGGGGCCGGGGAATCTGACTACGATGCCCTCGGCTCGGAGCAGGGCGGCCTCAAGTCAATTGCGTGCAGTCTGGAGGTCTGCACTACTTGGGGTAGACAACAGGGTGACAGGTAAGCAGAGATCGATCACATCACATCCGAGATGTTGTGAGGCTGCAGCCGGTGGTGGTTGCCATGTTCGTACGGGTGGCGCCGGAACACGACCAGTTGGAGACGGGGCCGTCAAAAACCGGGAATTCCCAACTCGTGTTGGATCGGCCCTATGGTTTAGAGTTTTTCCCTGGGCTGGGCTGACTGGCTGGGCTGCGCCGCATGACGATATCGCGCCCAGCTATAGGGACCCCCACATGGCCAAATTTAGGGAGTCGAGGCCGAGCGAGGCCCGGCCAGCAACAAAGACACCCGCAGGCTCTTCTTTGGATGACAGAGCGGCCTGCAGGGCGACCGGCTGGACCGGCTGGACCGGCTGGACCGGCTGGACTGGCTGGGAACAGCAGCTATGTCTACTACGGAAGTCTACTGCGGACGCGAGGGGTGTCGAGGATCGGGACGCGTAGGCCGATTCACATGTGGCCAAGGCATGCTTGTGCGTCCTCTGTGCCGATACAGATCATGCCGTTGGCTGCAGGTGAGATGGGAAGGGAGGGAGCAATTCCAAGACAACGGCAGCTAGATTCCAGATCCAGGGGTCCAGCACTACCAACAGGCCAATAAGCAACGCAGTCCCAGGTTGTTGAAACAGGCTGCAGACACTCAGCTTGCTGTCAAACCCCCTGAGCCAAGCTCAAGTCCCGTTCCCTTGTGCTCCTCGACGCGAGGTGAGGTTCCTTGCAGCACACGGAAGGGGGCACGCGGCGTGGCTTGCGCCTACCGTAGTACTATTTTTGCAGGCGGCCGACGAGGACGGGCCAGCACAAAGACGAGAAGGAGCCAGCCAACTCCAGGCCCACCGACGTCCCCTCCTTCCGTCACCCTGCTAGCAGCACATCCAAATACACTTTTCTTCCCTCGCAGCCGTTGCACAGGATCGTTCGTTTCACCTGTTCTTCTGGCCATAGCTTCCCGTCCTGGATGGAACTCGGCTTCACTTACATCGTGCATCCCTCCAGAGCGTCAATTGTGTTTGTTTGCTTGACTCAAACCGACTGACTGTCCTGCGACGAGTCGAGTTGCCCTCGCTTCACTCCCGCACTCCGAAGCCCGTCTCTTCCCCTCGCTCACCTCGTCTGCGATTGTGACCTGGCTTCTTCTTTTCCCCGCGGCATCACCGTATCTTTTGAAGTCAATAATACTACCTGCCATCCTCGGCCCCATATCTCTTGTACCTCATCCGTCCTGGTAGAGCCAGACGCGCCCGACCCCCAGCCACGCCGATCTACGACGTCGTCTCCATTCTGCATCGCCACCACCAGAGACGTGGGTTCGAGATCCACCCCCAGGCCCCGGATTGTCACACTTAGACCCTCGAGCTCCACACTCTTGGCTCCCCTCTGGTCCCACGGGTCTTGCACCTCGAATGTCTTAGACAACTTCCCAAAACCTCCTTGCACGTCGTCTATTTCAACACGCTTCTCGGAAGTCGCGTCCAGCAAAACACAAACATACCTCCAGGCCCCCAATCACACGGGAGGAAAGAACGGGGTCCTCCGCCTGGAAGACACTAAATGCCTCCTCTTTCCCCTCGATCTCCAACCAAAATGGGATTCATGCCCCTCAGCGGCCGCAACGACCCCTCAGACTCTATAGGAGAGGGCGACATCCCACTCAGACCAGTTCAGACGGCAGGCTCTACCGGCGCTAGAAGGCAGAACCAAACCCTCGACGACATGGACCTCGAGCAGACTTCCTCCGCCGAGGAGAAGAAGACCGGCCTCTTTCATCGCAAGTCGAAGAACGAGGGCCCAGGTCCTGCTGGCAGGAGGAGAACGTCAAGGCCCTGGCAGAGGGGGGCAGGAAGGGCACCTATGGCGAGGAAGGCGGCCTGAACGCCATGGGTCGCATATACAACAAGATCATCGGTTTCTCCGTCATCACCCGCTATCTGGTCTATATCGCACCTGTTGCCCTCGTCTTAGCTGTACCCCTCATCGTGATCCCAATCACTGGCCACTACGAGGACACACGCGTCGGCGGCTCTCGGGAAACCAATGCTCCTCGGCTCTTCGATCTCTTTCTGTGGATTGAGATTTCCTGGCTTGCTCTCTGGGGTGGCAAGATCGTCGCGCACTTCCTTCCTCCCATCTTCAGTGAGTAGCTTCCGTATACAAGCTCGGTCTTCTTTTCCCTTATGGAGGAAGGTACCATTGCCACACTTGTCTGTTTTACCATCTGCCTTGGAGCTCTTCCTAAGGCTGCAGTTTTGAGACCGGCTATGGGCAGACGGTGCCTTCCTTACCCTACCCGTCTGATCTTCCTACCCAGGCGATCTGATAACTAACCTGATGTGCTAGTGTTCTTCTGTGGCGTGGTTTCTTCGGGCACACGGAAATATGCCACTGTTCTGAAGAATTTGGAGATCCCATTCTCCCTCTTGCTTTGGGCACTCTGCTCATGGCTCGTGTTCAGGTTCAAGTTCCAGATCAACAATGGCGACGACCTTCAGTGGGTCTACGTCATGGCACGGATCTTGGGCTCGCTCTTCGTGTCGTCCTGCGTCCTTCTCGGTGAGAAGGCCATCATACAGCTTATCAGCATCACATACCACCAGCGCTCCTTCGCCAACAGGATTAAGGACTCGAAGCGCGAGGTCTTCCTTCTCGGCCTGATGTATGACGCTTCCCGGACGCTCTTTCCCATGTGGTGCCCCGAATTCTCTGAAGAGGACTACATCATCAACGATAGTATCGAGATGATGATCTCGGGTGGCAAGAAGCGCCGGGCTCGCGGCCACAAGAAGTCTGGATCCGTCACGCCTATGCACTTTATCGGTGGGGCTGCTGGAGGAATTGGTCGGGTAGGCGACAAGATAACATCTGTGTTTGGAAATCTCGCCTCCGAGATCACCGGCAAGCAGGTCTTCAACCCCAATTCCGCCCACTCAATCGTCGTCGAGGCCTTGGAGAAGGTCCCAACCTCTGAGGCTCTGGCACGTCGTATCTGGATGTCCTTTGTGGTAGAGGGCAACGATTCCCTCTATGCGGAAGACATCATCGAGGTTCTCGGCCCAGGGCACAGGGAGGATGCCGAGGAATGCTTCGAGGCCGTCGATGCGGACATGAACGGCGACATCAGCCTTGATGAGATGGTGCGCAAGGTCGTTGAGATCGGCAAGGAGAGGAAGGCCATCTCAAACAGCATGAAGGACATTGGTCAGGCGCTTCGCGTGCTCGACTCAGTCCTGCTGTTTATTGTGATCCTGATCGTGGTTTTTGTGTTCCTTTCCTTTTTCAATTCCTCGTTTGTGACCACACTGGCCAGCGCAGGCACAGCCCTCCTTTCGCTCTCCTTCGCCTTCTCCGTCACGTGCCAGGAATTTCTCGGTTCTTGCATTTTTCTCTTCATCAAGCATCCCTATGATGTGGGCGACAGGATTGATGTCAGCGGCGAGCAAATGGTTGTCGAGAAGATCTCACTGCTCTACACCGTGCTTACTCGCATTGACAAGATGCAGGTTGTACAGGTATGATAAATTCTCATATTTTCGCGTCCCCCTATTGGATAACAATGTGGAGCATAATTCCCTGTGGGATACTCTCCTATGGGGTACCCTCCTGTGGTACAACCTCCTGTGGGATACCCTCCCGTGGGATAATAGCCTTGTGTAGGAGTTGGGTACACTTCTGCGATCTGAAAGCTAACTCATCACGTTCAGATACCGAACATTGTTCTCAACAATCTTTGGATCGAAAATGTCACGCGCAGCAAAGCCATGAAGGAAGTTATCGACGTGAACATCTCCTTCGACACATCGTTTGAAGATGTTGAGCTCCTCCGCGTGGAGATGGAAAAATTCGTGCGACATGCCGACAATTCACGAGACTTCCAGCCAGATCTCGCTATCGGCGTGGGCAGTGTGGGAGACCTCGACAAGCTCACGCTCAAGCTGGCAATCAAGCACAAGTCCAACTGGCACAACGACGCTGTCCGCGCAACCAGGAGATCCAAGTTCATCTGCGCCCTCGCCCTCGCTCTCAAGAAGGTTCCTATCTATGGTCCAGTTGGAGGCGCAGAGCCATTGGGCGGGCCAACCAACCCTGCCTATTCGGTTGCCGTGGACGACGACTTTGCCGCCAAGGCTCGTACGAAGGCTGAGGACGCCGCTGATGCCCTGCGAATTATGCCCCTCAAGCCCAAGCGGGGCGCCTCGACAAAGGTTCAGCACATGAGCGAGAAGCAGGCGGTCGCAGAGCTAAACACGCGCCCGCCGCTGGAGGGCCTCGACTCCAACTACGGCGCCAATCGTGACGCGGTGGATGAGCGCACCGAGTCGGCGACGCTGAACTCTAGGGATGCTTCGGCGGAGCGGAATCGATCCGACAACCTTGAGCAGCTACGCCAGGACCTTGTCAAGCGGGAAAACACGCGCGGCCGCAGGAAGGCGGGTGAAGGCGTCCCTGGCGCGCCGCTCAGCTCGATGAGCCCTGGTTTGACAGTAACGCAGTACGACAACGACGGTAATGTTATAGTGGGTGGTCATCGGCAGATGTCATATGATGTCGTTCCGGGCCAGGGAGGTATGGGCAGCCCCTACGGCGGGATTGGAGTTGCCAGCTCGCCAGGCTACGGAGCGGTCCCCAGTGTCTCGCCGGGCATAGCTGCCGCGGCGGCTCAGAGCTATTCCCTCTACCCTACGAGCACATACTCACCACCCGGGCCGGGTCAGGACCCTAGTGAGCAGATGACGCTACCCGGACAGGCCATGACTACCCAAGCAGGCCCTTCAATCCCAGAAGGGCGGGTCCTTGCCTCTCCGCAGGCACACGGTGCCCGCCAAAGGGGTGCCAGTGTGTCCCAGGCTCTCGAGGAGCGGCAGAGAGAGGAGCAGGCGCGAAGGCAGCAGGGCCAGGGTGGCCAGGGACGGCAATATACAAAGTAGGGAACGACAGCGAATATCAGTTGCCATCGCCACCAAGCTTAGAGCTTTAATGATCAGACTTTTCCACGGTCGGAGGGAAAGGAATGGCTAGGGGCAAGCTGTGGCCACTTTCGATGGACAGGGTTACTAGTTTAGGAGGAACCCGGTAACGGGCAATCATAATGATGACGAAGATACGGCAGTGGGTTGGATGGTAAAGGATAGGTTGGCTACCAAGAAGAAACCACTAAACAGGACGATAGAGACAGTCTGGCTAGGCTGGTTGGGTCCATCATGGAAGGCGAACAGGATGTTCGCAGTGACATGCAAATGCAGACAAATTGCTAATCAAGCTTGAGACGTGAATACGCTGCAAGCAGCAAGTACGGCAGATCCCAAGCCAAAGGCTTATTTGACAGTGAATGTGACTACCCACACACCCTCGGCCAGTTGGTCATCTCGCCACCAATTGATGTCCGCAGTATGGCTCTTTGAGGCCGGTCATTGGCCACAAGAGCCAAGCCGTTGGCCAGTCCCTTCATCCGGTCTAGGGCCGTAGCCATATCCATCACACTATCAAGATGAGACTCAATGGCGCCGAGTACTACAGCGTCGTTCTGTGTATCCCACCGGCCTCGTCCCATCCCCTCAAACCTCTGCCGAAGCTTCTTGAGCGACTCCAGGAGGTAGACTAGAGAAGCCACAACGCGTGATGTGTCCTTCATGACTGGATCCTCGGGGAACAGAAGGTGGGCCCTGGCGTGCAATATGAGTACAATCACACCGATCCTCAATTCTTGGCACCTCTGCAGCGATTTTTTGATATCATGTCCTGCCTATGCCCAGCTCATCGGCTTCATTTTCGCACCGACCGCGAGACAGCGCTGTTCGACCCTATTTCGGAAGATTATATCGTGGTATGGCTTCAGGCCATCGAACGCGGCGAAATTCAAGAAGCCGACCAGGTGTAGTTTGAAGTCGTCGCGGCCCATCCCTTCCAGGAAGTTTGATATGCCTCCCGGCCCCGGGGTCATGAAATTCCCCTTTCTTGTACACCCCGACACACTGATCGGGGCGGGACATTCCATGAAGTAGGGGCCAAACGACTGGCTGCGATCTGGAAAAGTCTGAGACACGTTGTGGGGTTCCCAATGGCCTGAATTGCAGCCCATTGTTTGGAAAGGGTTTAGGAGGAGTGGTCTGATTTCCATACATCGTCATGTGGTGTTTGTCTTGTTTGGATCGGTAACACTCGCTGTATTGAGCCCTCCGCTTAAGACAGGAAAGAGCACTATAGCCGCGGTTGAGCTTCAAGAAGACCTGGTGCAGGGCGGCTTCGTAGGAATGGACATGTTAGCAGGCCCACAGGTAAGCCCAGCAAGAATTGTCTCTGGGGGGCAAGAGTTGAAGTTCAGACCTAGATGAAATAGATTGGGAAGCCTAGACGTGTCCGATCTTCCAAAATGATCTTTGTCTCGGTCGAGGTACGGCTGCCTTCCGGGATGAAGAACAAAATTTCAATAATCGCGGGCATTCTAGGGAAGGCTCCTCCTCCCTTGTTTCAAGACCTCTGACTCTTTGTGGGTGGGACCGAAGAGTCGTATTTTTAATTTCTAATTCCTTTTTCTGCCTTGAAGAAAACCACCTAGTCAGACAATCATCCCTCTGAGTTCACGTTGAATGCTGGTCCCAGTCGAATCCACCCAACTTCCCGGACTGCCTTGTTAGATAGACTGTATGCAGTAGGGCAACTGTGACATTATCAGCACCTGCATCAATCGCATGGTAAACCGGGGCTAACTTATCCTATGGGGGAAAAGGGGCCGCGCTCTCGCCATTTCTGGAGAGAGAGCAGCCGGGACTGCTCTTCACGAACCCTGTCCCTTTCCAAATGGAGACCAAATCCCAGAGCGCGACACTTTCATGAAGCTGCCAGAGCAAGAGCCGACTGCAAGGCATACGACAGAACCGGACAAGCACAAAACTTTGACTCCAACTCGAGATGGGTCCCAATCCTGCTGCATGCCAGGCAATAGAACCTGGCCAGGCGCACCACAGTCAGTGAGCATCGCCCCACGAACCTGATCGATGGATCCCATGGTGCATCACACCTACAACTCGCCCAGCGCCAAGATCTCAAACGTTCCCAAAGAAGCTCTGTCGTCGTAGACGCACCAATGCCGAAATCGCCGCAAGGTGCTGTGGAAAAGACCACCAGTCGCGCCGGGACGAAGCTCTTTCCGTGTGATCGCACTGCCAACAAGGACTAGTTTTTGGTTCCTCTCCAGCGGGCCACCAAGAGCAACGAAGGAGGGCAAGAAGCGCGCAAACAAAAGACATCCTCAAAAATTGCGCTTTCGTCTCTCGCGCAGTCCATTTCTGGTAGCCGAGGGGGAGCATGCACATCACCGGTGGTAACGAGCAAGACGTCGGGTGCCTCGATGACCCATGGGGCAGGGCTCATGAGCTCAAGCTGATGCGGCTGGCCGGACCTCATGCAGTGCATGACACATCGGTGGCTGTTGCCGTGATGCGGTTCTGGTGGTGGGATGAGACAGGTAGCGGGACATCCGCAGCTCAGAAAGGGATGAGTTGAGACAGGAGACCGGGGGCATGACAGCGAGGCGATTCGAGTCGATCCCACGATATTTCTGTTTGAGGCCGTCAGACCCTTGCTCCTCCACGACCAGCGCAGAGTATCAGGCAAGGCGAGTCAAAGGCGCGCCGAATGGAATGGGAAATGTCTAGGGATCGGCCGTGTGAAGCCTTTGCTGTGCCCCTCCCAAGCCACAACAAGAGGAAATGGCAGCCGAGGCGTGCCGGAATGAAGCTGCAGACGCCCGCACCCAAGTGTCTGTTACCACGACACACCATAACGACCCACGATGGCCAGCATTCAAATCCCAGATATGGAGACCTGACGAGCGACCTCTGGCCTGAGGTTCTTACCCTTGCGACTCATAGGAATCAACTCTCACCCGTCCAAGAAGGACGTCTGGGCAATCCTCGCCGCCTTTCCATCCTCCAAGTCCCGATCGGCCCAAGAACCACTTTTCAGCGGCCTGAGCCTCACAGGAAAGCCATGTCGGATTTAGAGGGCGGCTCGGACGAACTAGGCGCGCAAAACACCAACAAGATACTTAGGGTTAAGTTCCGAGACGCGTACCCTCGCTGGGGACTGGCTTGTCAGTTGCTGACAACCGTGGCACAATAAACCAGAGCGCGGCGATCATCGAGGTTCCTGATACAGGTACGAGATGCGACGTATTGTGATGACCCAGCCCAGCAGAGGGGTCCCAGGGGGACATTCCTTGCGGAAAACGAGAATCGGAGAACTGTAGGGGAGGCGTCGTGCGGATGGTTGCAAGAGGTTGCGAAAGAGCTTCGTCCTGACGCGGGTCTGGGGGCGTCTTACACTCCGCGCCTTGCGTATCGCGATGGAGGATCAGCAGTAAAATGCATCTCAGACAGAGCAACGGGGAGTTTGAATGGGATCTGTAGCAGTGATTGAAGCTGTAAGGTATTGTGAAGACCAGTGTTGGGATGGTGGTGATACTTCATAAACGAAGTTGCGGCGACGCGTCCACAGCAACACGCCATAGGGAGCCATTGCAGTGCAGCAGCGCGTCAAAGGGCGCTAGGACAAAAGAGGTCTAGCTTCGTCGCGAGCGCACGTGGGGCAGCCTGTCAAACGTCTCTTACACTAACGTGAGACCGAGAGGCCTTCAACGGCAATTTGTCTTCGGGCCAGGGCATGATTGCATTTCCACCAGACGTTCCACAACTTGCGATGCTGCTCTACAGTATCTGCAGAGCTAGGCCCGCCAACCCGAGTAATTGAGCCTGGCGATGGTCCACGGCGACTGCAGCATGGATCAAGGCGAGAAGGGCAAGCAAGGCCGCCAGGCTCTGGTGGAGAAGCTCATCGAGCTGGGCACACGCGCGTCGAGACCGGATGCGGACGAAAACACTCGCAAGTATGCCGACCAAGAGTTTCATGACTTCGTGCAAAAGGCACGGACGCTCTCCCTGCTTCCGGCGCTCAACTTCCTCATCCAGCCGGGACGGGTGCCCCCTGAGCTGCGCGTCAAGCTCATGGACGTTCTCACCCGGGTCCCTCTGAGGCCTGATGGTGTGCGCGCCACCGTGGAGTTTGTCTTCTCTGTGCATCCTTCGAGCACCGTCACCTCCTCGGACGAGGCCAAGCCACAAAAGGAAGGGGCCAATATCACGCACGAAGCCTTGAGCATGGCTGCTAAGCTCATCGCATACCCCCCGAAGACCGTCTCTGCCGACACCTGGTATCAAAAGGTAGCCCCGCAGCTCCTCTCGTTACTGGACGGACAGGACGGGCCAGAGCTCATGAAAGTGGGGGCTTTTGTCATCGGCTTTGGCATTCTTGGCCGCAGACAATCCGGTGCACCCGGGACAGCTGGCTGGAGAGCCGTCGCAGAGCCCATGCTGAGTCCGATCAACCCTCCGTCTGCGGCAGCGTCCGCCTGGGAGATCGCTCCTGGTGATATCATAGACCTCAGCAGAGACAGGGTGCTTGTCTCCCCGGAGCAACTGGCGCAGGCTCTGTTCCGTCTTCAGGCGCTGCTCATCTCCCATCCGAACCCTAGCTTGTCCAAGAGGCTCTTGCATCCTGTCATCCTTCCCCTCTGGGCCCTTGCTAGCCCAGTCCGTCCTGAAGCGCATTGTGAAGAGCGTTACTGCCAGCCTGCGCAGAACCTGCTCCGCATTTATTTCAAACTCGCTACTGAACCACAGCGGATAGACAACGTAATCCAGAATCTCCTTTTCAATGGCAACCTCGAGGGCGATCTTAGATGGAGGTTCAGAGACACAGTCGGTGGGGATATCGAGGTCATCAAGCCTCGAGATGCTGTCGATGACGATGCCGCACACCACAAGTGGACAGATATTGAACCGAAAGTCGAGTCCCTGATAGACCTGATCAAATCTGTCTGCTCGGCAGAAGATGTGTCCTCTATATTCACAGAACTCTTCGGCCGCTGGTTCTCGGCAAACGCGAAGAAGACTGACGCTGTGCTCCTCACCAAAGTCAGTGAGGCCAAGGAAGACCCTGTCAACCAGTTGATACAAGTCAAGATGCTTCAAAGAATGATGGACAGTTTCCCATCACAATTGGCAGCTGGATCTGACTCGATTTTAAGAATGGTGGAGCCCATATTGAAACAGGGCGCCGATGAGGGTGACGACGAGACGGTGCCAGTGGCGCTTAGTCTCCTCAATATCGTCGTCACAGCGCCGAACTTCCTGAAGGCCAGGACAGACAAAACCCTCGTCCAGTCAATAGAATCATCGTTGGGGCGACTGGGCAACGCAGATCTGGGAAGCTCATCAGCAACAGCCAGAAATCTTGCACTGCTGCTGAAATTCCGGGACGAACTGGATGACCCATCCGAAAGACCCTCCGCCCCGACGTCACGCCAAATCGAAGACCGCAAAACCTACGACCTGGCACTTTCCTACATCACCCAGGCAGACTCGCCCCCGCCCGTGCGTGCCGAGGGTCTCAACCTCCTCCAATCCCTTGTTGTCGAGAACAGCTCCGTTTTAGACATTCCCGCGACCCTCGTCCTCATGTCTTCACTGCTGCAGGATGACGACGATTATATAAACCTGCGCCTGATCAAGATGTACACCCAACTCGCGAACAGACATCCCAAAACCGTCACCAAGGATCTCGTGGAGCACTTCGTGGACGCGGACGAGAAGGCGAACGTAGACCTGCGCCTACGGTTCGGCGAAGCGTTGTTACAAGTGATTGAGCGGCTAGGGGAAATGTTCACAGGCGACACAGCGCGGCAGGTCGGCGAGGCATTGCTGGCCACCGCGGGTCGGCGAGTGTACCGGCCCAAGACGGAACAGAAGCAGCAGCGAGAGGAGAAGCTGAGATTGATGAAGCAGAAGCGTGCCGAGAAGGAGTGGGGAGGCGAGGTGCCCGACCTAGTCTCGGACGAGGAAGAGACCGAGGAGGGCCGGGCGAACAAGGAGATCCTGACGCAGATCATCAGCGGGTGGGACAGCAAGAAGGGCAGCGAGGATGTCCGCATCCGCGGGTCCGCACTGTCTATCCTCGCCGTCGGCATCGAGACCAATATCGCCGGTGTCGGGTCGACTAGTTTCTGCCAGCGTCGACCTGTCCGTCAACGTCCTCACAGTCGAGTCCGTGATCGAGGCTGGCATATTGCGGCGATCAGCCGTGCTGGTCATCCTTGCTTTCGTCAGAGCTCTCAACAATGCCAAGGAGAACGGCAGGCGCCTGGGCTTCGGGCTGACGGAGGAGAGCCAGGAGGATATCAAGAGGGTGTTGAGTTACGTTGCGAGTACTGATAATGATGGTCTGGTCAAGCAGCATGCAAGTGATGTGGTTGAGAGTCTGGACAACTGGAGGCTTGGCTCTCTTGTTTCTCAGGTGCCAGAGCAGGCTCCAGGGATGACCCTGACCCGACTGGCGGGATTGAGTGTTGATCCTGAGGGTGCGCCTTTCGCAGAGCGAACATCTTCAAGGCCTAGAATTGAAGAGATCGAATGCGAATAGCCCGAGTCAATTCAATATCCCATCCAGTATCTCGTCCCCATATAAATACACCTACACCATCTTTATTTGACCACGTCAGGATTTGTGTGTGAGGGCCTATTCACTCATGTGGGAAAGTCTACGTCTTGAAGATTGCGCGCCGTGCATAGGACTGCCTTACTGCCAAGATATCAAAGTTGACATGATCGGAATAAGACGACAATTTCAAGCAAAAGCCTAGACTTAGAAAATAGCCAAATACGGTGGTTAAACTATTCGTTCTCTGAAACCACAGCAATTTCTGCCTCGCAAATAGATACATCCAGTGTCCATAATATTTACAGTCCAAAGTAACAAACAATATCAGCCAGCAGGTTCTCTGGCCCCTCAGCCGTGGGTGGATGGCACCAACGAGTTCACGTAGACCTCGATGTTGGCGTACCCAGACTCGCTGATCTTCATGGCATCGGTAGCGTCGTTGGGGTCCAACCCGTTCGCAGTCTCCCAGGCATCGGGAATTCCATCACCATCGGTGTCCTTGGGCGCTGTGCCTCCCAGGATGGTACCGACACCTCCAACGTCGTCCTCGTTGGAGATAAGAGCGCCGTCCTTGCCGTAGCTCTGCACCTGCTCGATCAAGAGCTTGTCGACCGAGTCCCGGGCAGGGTAGGTCGTGCCCGTGCTGTTCAAGACAAAGTTGACGGCCTCCTCTGGGGTAAGCAGTTTCGCAGGGGGCGAGTAGTCGTACTTGGTGGTTACGATGTCCATGTCGCTGTAGCAGGTGGTCGACTCACAGAGGGCCGAACCGTCCAGCTCTCCATTGCGGTTCGAGTCGTAGAAGTTGTTGGACACGAATCCGTGGAAGTTTGCGTTGCCACGCGTGAAGGCGGTGACGGACGTAGAGGGCCCGGAAATGAAGTAGTTGTTCACGATGTTCGTGTAGCTCTGGCCGTCACCTCCGCTTGCAATGTAACCACCACCACCACCCCAGTTGTAGATGACGTTGTTCTGGAAGTCGTTCACGCCCTTGACCTTGGGGTTACGCGTCTTGTTGTCGATATACAAGTTCCGGAAAAGGCTAATACCACCGTCAGTCTGCATCAGGCCACCACAGCTGTGGGTCTCAAGGCCCTGAGCAATGATGCTGTTCTGGATGGTGATGTTGTGGGCATCCCCATTGATGCTGAAGGTCTCATCGCGGCCCCACGAGACGGAGACGTGATCAAAAATAATATTCTTGCCCTCTGCGATACCCGCCGCATCCTTGCCAGAGTCACCGCCACGTCCCATGCGGACTCTTATGTATCGCACGATGCCCTCGTTGGCATTGGACCAGGACATGCCGTTTCCGTACACAGTAATGCCCTGCCCGGGTGCGGTCTGCCCGGCTATGTAGATGTTCTTGCCGACTGCAATGCGGTCCGAGATCTTGATGACGCCGCCGACGTCAAAGACGACTATGCGGTTGTCCTTGGACACAGCATCTCGGAGGGATCCAGTGCCAGAATCGCTGTAAAAGGGTGTTAGTCTGACAGGGAAGGAGTCCGTCTGGGGAGGTGTGCTCACTCCAGGTTTGTTACGTGGTAAACCGAGCCAGTCCGTCCTCCGAGCGCGTTCCGGCCGAAACCCTCGGCTCCGGGAAAGGCGAGCAGGGCCGAAGCCCCTGAGACGCAGGCTGCCAGGAGGCAGGCAGGCTTCGAGAACTTCATCTTGTTGAATGGAAAGAATGGACGCTCCAGGCGGGCAGTATAAGGGAATTAGGAGAGGAAGAAAGGGATGGAGGCAGAGATGGAGTGTCTGCTTCTCACGGCCTCGCGGGCGCAAGAGTCGCGCGATTGCACCAGGGGCGTCATGGTATTTTATTTGCATTTTAAGGTGCTGCTTGCTGGGTGCGTGGTGGGCCACGGCGATGCCCCCGAGCGGCAAGGGGTGGATCAGCAGGCCTAGCGAGCTCCTCCGTAACAGCGAGGTGGCTCCAGCAGCGGCGCTGGCAGGCTGGCCCCGAGCTGCCAAGCTCGTGATGATGTATGTGAAACAAAATCGATGGGAAACAAAACGAGCAACCTGCCTGATTTAGGCTTCTCCGCCCGCATCAGGAGCGCCCACTGAGAAGAATGGGCTTAGAACTCACCTCCACAGCAGCATTCTGACGGGTGGGAAATTAGCCCGATCCTTTTTGGGAACGGAGGCGGAGACGGAAGAGGCGAGAGGTGTGTTGCACTGGGATCTGACAGTTCCCCCGAGTAGATCGTCGACTTCCCGGCTCCAGGTCGGTGAACGGCAGGGACACCCCCCCCCGTTCAACCCTTATTAGGGTTTGACCCTGAGAGTACACTACGCGTCTCCATTTAGCAGACGCGTCTGCCCGACTTCCTGGCATCAAGTTTCATACACCTTGAGTCGCTATCCACGTCACCAAACATGTACTCCAGTGCACAATAGCGAAGATGCCGACTAGGAGGGTCATCAATGACTCTGAGGATGAGGATGCCGGCTTCAGCCCGATTAACAGTCCGGTCAAAGGTCGTGTTGATACGACGGTTGGCGCGATCGCGCTGGAAGGCGATGCAGGAGTCGAGCTGCCGCTAGCAGATTCGACCATCGACCAGCGGTCGACTGATCCAGAATTCTTCCACAAGATATACGAGGAGCAGCAGCATGTTCCAGAGGCCGCACGGAATAACAGGGTTGAGGGCATCTCCTCAGACAAGCAGAAGAGCTCAGACCCGAATGCTAAGAACTCGTCTTCCATCACTGACCCGACCCGGAAGGATTCAAGGAAGAAGCCAAAGACGGCCGTGGATGCAAGGGACTTTGCCAGCCTTACCCAGGTCACGACTCCAAGGAAGGATGGATCAAGTGGCTCGCGTATGGACGAATTCCCCAGTAGTGATGGAGAAGGCGGCGGCGGCGCGAGGCCAAACACAAAGTCGAGAACTACGAAGACCTACGGCAAGCGGAAGAGGGGACAGACTGCGATACCGGGAGCAGCCATCCCCAGCTCCAGCCCGGCACACCCCTCGGCAAGCAATCAAGGCCTGTCGTTGACGCACACGCAGGGCGACGAGGAAGCACTGCCGAAGCCTGCGCGGAAGAAGAGGGGAAGTGGCACCCAGAAAGTCTTGGACGGTCTCGTCGAAGACGTCGACTTGCTCGTTGTTCCTAGGACCGCAGAGACCAACCAGTCTCCCGCACAACCGCAGGGCAGTAATGAAGGCCAGGATGTTGTGGTTCCTGACAGTCTCAATCAGCCACAAGACACCGCGAACCAGGCGCCTGCATCATTCTTCATTGCACCACCAAACCACCTCACTGTCAGCCAGAAGCAGGAATACTTACCCATGAGTGGGTCTTCAGAGCATGATGACCACGCAAGCCGCGAGAATGCCTCGCCCTTGCCCCACCCCGAGACGCAAGCGCAGAGGCTCCGCAGCAGTGAGGCGACCATCGCTTACACAACACCGAGCCGATATTGTTCATCTGCTCCAGGGTTTCCAGAGCTTCCAGAGGACGATGGTCGCAATTCCTCAGTACTGACGACTTCAATCAGTAGAAAGGCTCAGAAAAGCACCGTTCATTACACTGCGGTGAGTCACCTTGTCTACGTCCTCCTGCGTCGCATCCTCGTGTTGAACCAGGAATTTTACTTTCTCGTGCAACAACTGATGTCTCTTAGCCCCATTCATCGCCGGATGAGCTTAATTCGCATTCGTTGGATAATCTGGGACCCCAGGAGAAGCGGAACAAGAACTCGAGTGAAGTCGATGAGTTGGCACAAGATGACTCTTGGGATTCCGATAAGATCGGGTACGCCCGAGAGCAGTATAAACCAAGACCAAGTAGAAGAAGATCGGGAATCGACCAGGATGAACAGCCCTCGCAAGCTGACACGAGTATTGGCAATGCGAAGAGGAAACGGCAGAAAACAGATCAGCACCACGATGTGGTCCAGGAGGACGGCTGGGATTCCGATAAGGTAGGAGCCCACCGGGAGAGCTACAAGCCCAGGCCTAGCCGTCGGAGGTCGAGGGCAGACGAGGACTTGGCGGCACCGGAACGGTCCATGCCGGATACCTGCCCGCCCGGCCCGGGAAGCCCGGAAGGGACGGAGAATGCAGAGCCGATTCTGATCTCATCAGGACAGCAGGCGCCACCAGAGCAAAGCGACGACATTGAAGGGATTGGTCCTAGTTATCTCGCTGCGCTGCCGGAAGACCTTCGCCAAGAGGTGGTTGCTGATCAGCTGGCCCGCAACTCGCAGGCATCGCGGACTAGAGGTCGTGGTCGCCCGAGTCAGGGTGGCGATACACCACAACCTAAGAAGAGAGGAAGAAAGAAGAAGGAGACAGTCAACGAGGATGCATCAGCCTTAGCAGAGGAAGCCGACCCGCAAGGTACTGCTGCACCAACTCCTGCAGCGGGCAAGAAGAAAAGGGGCAGACCAAAGAAGACAGATATCCCCAAACTACCACCGGCCCCAGCAGCTGATGATGACATCTCGCTCGCATATGGGGTAGAAGGTGTGTCGGATGCGGCGGATGCAGCAGAAGTGATACCCCCTCAGGACTTGGGAGTCGCACCTGCACCGTCAAAGGGGCCGTCGAAGAGAGGCCGCAAGAAGAAGGTCGTAGAAGAGACGCCTGCAGCCCCCGAGGAAGAGACCATCTTTCGTGGTGGAGAAGAAGCCGTCGACGGCGACGATCAAGAGGTCACGAAAGAAGCCAGGGCTCCTGCGGGGAGAGGGCGGAAGAGAAAGGTGGTGGAAGAACCGCCTTCAGCTGACGAGTCGGATGATCATGTCGATGGCTCTCAACGGAAGCTGGAAGTCGCCAGCGATGTGGAGGATTATCCCAAAGCCGGCACAGGAGTAAAGCGCAAGGCTCTCACAGATATCAGCAACACTGCGTCCTCTCAGGGACCTGCACATGAGACCGATGGAAAGGAGAGGGCGACTCCGGAGACTGTTGTTGACATGCAAAGAGAGGCCACACCAAAGGCCAAAGAGAAGGAGACCCCGAAGTCTGCCTCGAGCACCACCAATCAACAGGGTAAGGTACCGTTAAGGGTGGGGTTGAGCAAGAGATCGAGGATCGCGCCTCTGCTGAAGATGATCCGCAAGTGAGGACAAACCCGCCGCCTTGCTCGAAACTTTGACTTCCAAGCACCCATCACTCAGTCCGCCTGACAGGCCGAGACTTTTTGGAGATGTGTATCATTATGCTCACCCAGCCAGATGGGGCAATGCTGGGCCGAATCGCACGAGAACAGGTGCGCGGTCGAATGAAATCAAGATGAATTGACGTCGGAACTAGCTTTGCCCAATTGCATTAGTTACATGTGCGCACAATCCCAGCCGACAAGTGTTGCCCTTGCAGTTCGTGCTGCAGTGACAATGCATGTTCCAATGGCGAATGGCGTAATAAGCCGCCAAGCCGGTGTCACCGCGCATTCCTTGGAGGCGGGTTGCACCCCCAGAGATGGGCCGGCCACCTTCGCGGGGCCGAAGCCGGCGAGAAAGCTGTGGATTTTCTCGCCGCCAGACAGAGTCATTACCCAGACCGCGGGGTCCAACCTCCCGCCCTCCGCCATTCTCCCCTCCTCTACTCCAGCACATGGCCAATTGCGCTCAGGACTTACTCTTCTAGAAAGCTGATCTTCACAACCTGACTACCGAGGTATTTGGTCACCATGTCCACCCACGAAGGGGCCAATGGCGCCTCTAACGGCACCCACACCCAGTCCCAGCGGTACCTCAGCACCCGCGGGGATGACAATGACGTGCGATGACAGCCCCTTCCCCTCCCCTCTGCCTTTCTTCTCGCCGCGGCTCGTTGAGCGTAGCCCCGCCAATCCATCCATTGGCGTTGGCTGACTGTCGGGTCTACAGCTTTCCTTCGAAGACGTCGTGCTGAAGGGCCTCGCCACCGACGGCGGCCTGTACATCCCCGAGGAGATCCCGCAGGCGACTGGCTGGGAGAGCTGGAAAGATCTGCCCTTCCCCGAGCTCGCCTTCAACGTCCTCTCCCTCTACATCTCCCCCTCCGAGATCCCGGCCGACGACCTCAGGGGCATCATCGACCGGAGTTATGCCACCTTCCGCCACCAAGAGACCACGCCCCTGCGGCATCTGCAGGACAACCTGTTTCTGCTAGAGCTGTTCCACGGGCCCACGTTCGCGTTCAAGGACGTTGCTCTGCAGTTCTTGGGAAATCTGTTCGAGCACTTCCTGACAAGGAAAAATAAGGGCAAGATCGGAAGAGGTGAGACCCACACGCGCACGGGAGAGGCACATCGCGGGGTGCGGGCTGGTCTTCGACATCAGCGGTTAACATCACACCGCGCACAGATCGGCATCACCTGACCGTGGTCGGCGCAACCTCCGGCGACACAGGCAGCGCCGCCATCTATGGTTTGCGCGGCAAGAAGGACGTCTCTGTGTTCATCCTGCATCCCAAAGGCCGCGTCAGCGCCATCCAGGAGGCACAGATGACCACCGTCCTCGACAAGAACGTGCACAACCTCGCCGTCACGGGCACCTTTGACGACTGCCAGGACATCGTCAAGGCGCTCTTCGCCGACCCCGACACCAACTCCACTCTCAACCTGGGCGCCGTCAACTCCATCAACTGGGCTCGGATCCTCGCCCAGATAGTCTACTACTTCCACGCCTATTTCTCCCTGGCCAAGTCGTCGCCGGGCTTCAAGCTCGGCGACAAGGTCCGCTTCGTGGTGCCGACGGGCAACTTCGGCGACATCCTGGCCGGCTACTTCGCCACGCGCATGGGCCTGCCGGTCGACAAGCTCGTGGTCGCGACCAACGAGAACGATATCCTGAACCGCTTCTGGCGGACGGGCCGGTACGACAAGAAGCCGGCGGCGGTCCCGCCCGAGGCGTCTGGCGGCCTCGCGGCCGACGGCGTCAAGGCTGATGAAGGCGGCGTCAAGGGCACTCTGTCGCCTGCCATGGACATCCTGGTCAGCAGCAACTTCGAGCGGCTGCTGTGGTTCCTGGCGTACGAGTTCGCCTCGGCCGCGGGCATGGACGACGAGTGGAACAAGCGGCAGGCGGGCCAGGAGGTGGCGGCGTGGCACAAGGACCTCAAGGCCAAGGGCGGGTTCAGCGTGTACAAGGCGGTGCTGCTGTCGGCACAGCGCGACTTTGAGAGCGAGCGCGTCGACGACGAGCAGACCGTCGCGACCATCAAGGACTTCTACGGCCGGCTCGGGTACATCCTGGACCCGCACTCGGCGGTCGGCATCGCCGCGTCGCTGAGGTCCGTCGCCCGCACCGGCGCCGAGGTGCCGCACATCTCGCTGGCGACGGCGCACCCGGCCAAGTTCGCCAACGCCGTCGACAAGGCGCTGACGGGGCTGGAGGGCTACGACTTCGAGAGCAAGGTGCTGCCCAAGGAGTTTGTGGGCATGCACGAGCGGGAGAAGAGGGTTGCGTTCGTGAAGAACGACTGGAAGGCGGTCGGTGAGCTGGTCAAGAAACAGGTGGAGGAGGAGCTCAAGGAGGAGGAGCACGCGGCGCAGGCGGAGATCCAGGCGGCCAGGGAGTGAAGGGGAGACATGTCCGGAGGCCGGGAGGGGCTCGATATATGACGCTTCATTGTCCGACTGGTGTTGTCTTGGTGTGGTTATACAAGGCTTGCATAGAGGACCATCGGGGCATGTTGAGGCAATATTTAGGTAGCACAGGGAAAAGCATGAGTTTGCCACTTTCTCTTCTTCTCCCCCCGCCACCTTCCCCCCCTCTCCCCCACCACAATGACCTGGCTGTTTCCTGGGTAACAATGTGGATGTTTGCATCTGGGCAGTAGAGCATACCTTGGGAACCGTTCCTGGCAACAGCGTTGGACAGTGTGGGGGATGGCTTGTCTTTGGCTGACGACCTCGGGAGGTGACTGTCCTCCCAGGAGAAAGGACATGATTGAGCCTTGATCAATTCCGTGTATCGGGCAATCGTCAAATGACCAAGTCCATGTAGTTTCCAGCGGCATCCCTACATCGCCAGAAAAGTAGTATCACCACTTTCTAATTGTCAGCATAACTCTTCAGTTGCATACGAATCCTGGAGTCACAAAGAAGTCTAGCGTCTTTACCAGTCCTCTCAGGGCGAATGGGCTGTGGACTTGAGACTACGGGGACCAGTGTAAATCCGCAACAGATTTGAATTCACCGGCCCCCTTTTATAGTTTTCTGGACCTGTTGTACTTATTTGCACCTCAGTTTCTGGGACACAAGTTCAATCATAAGCTAGTGATATTTCTGGCGCTATCTAATTTGTGAGACATAATACAAGAATACTAAGTATTAAAAGAAATAAGGCTTATATTAAAGTAAATTTATTATTTAAGATATATAAATTTATTTTTTTAAAGTTGTAACTTATAATTTTATAAGGTATAATATAAATATTAATAAGTAATATTAAAAGTATAAAATATTATTATAAAAGATTTAAAAAACTTAATTTAAAAGTAATAATTTAAGCCTTTGTGCTTTTATATTGCTATAAACTTTTCTGCCCCCTTTACATGCCGTGATAATAAAATTTCTTTTTGCATGTTTACTTTTAGCTTAATATAAGCTTAGCAAAAGGTTTATTTAATTTTTGAGACAGTGAGTGCTGTATTCCGCTGGACTGTATAGATAAAGAGCAGATTATTAAAATCTTAAAATACTCTGGAATATCCTAGAGAATTGGTATAGTCTTATGTAGCCGTATTTTTACAAGTTCTTCACCATATTACAGGTGAGAACTCTTGGGTATTATTATTAAGGACCAATATTAATGTTTCTAATATGAGAAGGTATGTAGGTCACTTTTATAGGTTAAATAAGAACGATTTGAAAACTTGAAACGTTTCAAGCCCGATCGGTATCAACCTTGGGCTCCGGGCACGACGTGGCATGGGGGCAACGATGGGAGACTAAACACACAACCACACCTGTCCAGCTTGCATGAATGCTACCCCAATGGCTTCAAAATAACTACACTGCCCCACAAATGAGATTCGGTTGGCTTGAATTGCGAGGTAAGTTTTCAGCCTGCGAGTCACGCCCTGTATACTCTGTTCTCGTGTCCCCGATGGACTCAGACGCAGGCACCCGCCACTCCTCATCCATGGTACTCAGAGGCTTGTATGGACCTCTGCAGCAGAGGCTTTCGATCTTGCAAGGTAAGCTATGGCCGACCGCCTTTCGTCTTACAAATCTCTTTTCGTATAGCAGGTCAGGGAGGCGCGGGTACCTTTGCACTAGATTTAGCATGTGAGTCGGCATTGCCCCGTGAGGCCTTCATAAGCTCTCTTGCTTTTTCGACAAAATTCCAGATTTACGTGAGACACCTGTCCCGTTCTGTCTGGAGGAACAAGCACCGGGACCGGCCCAAGCGAGGGGATGCCACTGGCTGGTTCTGCATCCGGACAGACCCCGCCTGGACGATATTGTCCAGACTGTGGAAGCCCTATGCAGGAGTTTAATGAGCTGAATTATATGGATCATATGGAGTCATTCGATTCAGTTACGAGAACAAGCCACTCTGGGTGCTCGGGATGCAGGTACCAAAGGAAGACTTGCCTTGCTGTGTACGCGTGTCAGCCCTAGGCAGCGTGAGTCCTGGGCCCAGTTGGCGGAGCTTTTGGCACGGGTGGGTTCCCACATGCCGTAGTGTTAGGGCCTGTATCTGATCCGATGATCGAAGACGTAAAGGGCGCGTTCGGTGCTCCCGGTTTACTTTATTGTTGCTGTGTGCGCAGGGACGGGTCACATGGATCCACCCCCGCTTGTCCGTCAGAGTCCATCATCCCATACATTTCATTCAGGGGTCTTCAGTCTTGGAATCAGTACCCAAGGACCAGGTGGCTGGTGAAGAGTCTTGTTTGCTTCGATCGATTCGTGCCTATGTCTGTAGCACGGCCATCTCTAGCCACATAGGCTCCACGAAGCTAGGTGCAGACAGTGATGCAGCAACATTGTGTGGATTGGTCTCGAAGCACTCGAGATGTTCATGAGCGATGTACTGACCTTGGTCGCACAACAAAGTATTCTATGGTTCACGCTGATTAGCTAGAACCGCAAGGACAGGTTCCTAATTGCTGTCGTACTTAAACGCGTCAACAGATGGGGCGAGCAACCGCAGTCCAGACTTTCTGGGCACAACAACCCATATACCGTCCGAAATTAGCAGAGGAGTGGGTTGATCGAGGTTTTCCCTCATGCTAAGCCTCCGATCGTACGCAGTCTTTAACAGTGGCCAGATCTTGTCTCACTCGGAATTAACATGGAGGCCCTCCGAGCCGAGCCCGAGCCGAGTCGAGATGCTCTGTCCGGTCGAGACTCCAGGCGCCATGACAGCTACGTCCTGATGATTGCGCGTATGTTTACCAGGATAACGCAGAGATCATCTATCCTAGTGGTTCATCCCATCGTCGCCCAGGGGTGTGGAGTTGACCGTGTATTTTTGGGACCCACGATGGCGTGGGAAACAATATTTTGTTTCCTCCCCTATCATGGCCTCCCCTATCCACTGCCGCGTGGAATGGAGGCTCACGAGGCTTCAAAAGAATGGCCTCCTTCCTTACGACCTTTGCTGGGACTTGGCTCCATCCAGCCTTCGAGCGCAAAGCTTTAAACTCGGTCCAGTCGCTCTTTGTTGCCCCAATCTATCGCTTCTTAGCAGTGCTTCTGTTGGCAAGTACGACCCTTGCACTTGGAAGGCTACTTTAGTTATCCCCTCCGGGGCACGTAGCCTCTTAGAACTTAGATAGAATAACATTAATATATAATTGCTTCCCATATAATTATTATATATATAAGAAACTTATTAACATTAATTAATGATTATGGGTATTATAAATTAATAAGGTAAAAAAGGTAACTTTATAAGGATTTCCCTAACCTAAAAATTACATCTTCCTTATTAATAAGCGCTATATAGCAATAACTGCTTTTTTAAGCCTCCTTATATTATTAAACTTCCTAAGTAAATATTATAAAGATTAAATAAATTAAATAGCATTCCTTATAATATTTATATATATATTTATTGCTATTTAAAAAATATATATTTATTATGCATAAAATTTTATTAAAAATAAACTTATTTTTAAATTTTCTTTAAAATTTAGCAAAACTTAATAAAGCTTTATTTTATTAATAAATATAGCTTATAATTATTATAATTATTAAATAAATAAAGCTTATAATTATTATAATTACTAAAATTAATATAATGTTATATTATTAATAAATATAAGTTATGCATTAAACTTTTAATTAATATAAAAAAACTTAATAATAAAAAAAAGCTTTAACTTTTAAGGCTTAAAGGAATTAAAAACTTTTTTTTTTAATAATTATAATTTACTTATTATTAAATTATTATTATTAACTTACTTTTAAATATTATTTATTTTATTAATATTTCTTTATTTTATTAATTTTACTTTTTATAATATTTATTATAAAAACCTATAAGTATAATTAATAATGCTAAAAAGCTATTAATTTTTATTAAAAGGTATATAATTAATAAAATGCTTATTTAAACTTTAATTAACTTAGTTTATTATAAATATATTAATTTAAAACTATAATTTACGGCCCTTATATAAAAAGTATTAATAAAATACTTAATTACCTATCTAATAAGTACTTTAATAAGCTATATGCAATAAAATCTTTATAATAACAACCTTTTCATTGCTTATTATAAGGATTATATAATATGGATATAAGTAATATTTAAAGCATTATTAAATCCTTATTAATAATGCTTAAAAGTTTTCCTTTAAATACAAGGCATTTATATAAAATATAATAATTAATTTATAACATTATAATTAATTACCATAGCTTAAACTAAGGAAAAATTAAAATAAATTAATAATAAGCTTTATAATGCCTTATTAGCCTTAAAATTAAACATAAATAAATATTGCATATAACTTTAAAAATAGCAATTATAAGCATAGCCCTTATAAAAGCTATAAATAAGCTTTAAATAATAATAATTGCTAAAAGAATAATTCCTAAGATAATATTTATTGCCATTATTAGCTTTAAATATATAATTATAAAACTTAAACTTAATAATATAATTTATTAAAAATTAATATAGCTAATAAAGCTTATTATTATTAGCAAAAAAATAAAAATAAAGCTTATATTAAAGATATATATTATACTTAATATAACCTTAAGTTACCTTAAAAATGCCTTTATTAAATAAAAAGTATAACTTATATAAAACTCTTTTCTTATAATATATTTTTAATAAATACTTAAATTTAGCGAAGTTAATATAATTTATAAAAACCTTTAATAACTTTTATAAATATATTAAAAACTTATATAATTTGCTAAATAATAAAATAAAGATATTTTTTAATATTTATTATTATATTAAAATTTAGCTAAGTTAATTTTATATAGTTTTTCCTTAAATACTTAAAAACTAAGCTAAGGCTTATTATCTTTATTTTATAAATTAAATTAATATATTTATAATAATATACCTTAAAATTAAAATATATTTTAATATAAACCTTAATTAT